TCTCAGGACAAAGATTCATCCAACTAAAACAGCTAATCCCCTCTGGAATGAAGATTTGGTGTTTGTAGTGGCTGAGCCTTTTGAGGAGCAGGTCTTCCTGACTATTGAGGATCGAGTGACCCCATTAAAAGATGATGTCTTGGGGAAAATAAGCCTGCCCCTCAACATTTTTGAGAAGCGATTAGATCACCGGCCTGTTCATTCTCGCTGGTTCAATTTGGAAAAATTTGGTTTTGGTGTCTTGGAAGCTGACAGGAGGAGAGAGCTTCAGTTTTCAAGCCGTATTCACCTAAGAGTTTGTCTTGAAGGTGGATACCATGTACTGGATGAATCGACAATGTACATCAGCGATCAAAGACCAACAGCAAGGCAGCTGTGGAAGCAACCAGTTGGGATATTAGAAGTGGGAATCTTGGGTGCACAAGGTCTTCTTCCAATGAAGATGAAGGATGGCCGAGGGAGTACAGATGCCTACTGTGTCGCTAAGTACGGCCAGAAATGGGTTCGCACAAGAACAATCCTTGAGACTTTCAATCCAAAATGGAATGAGCAGTACACTTGGGAAGTTTACGATCCCTGCACGGTGATAACATTGGGAGTTTTCGACAACTGCAATTTAAGAGGAGGCGAGAAACCAAATGCTGCAAATGCAGCACGAGATTCAAGAATTGGAAAGGTAAGAATTAGACTGTCAACTCTAGAAGCTTACAGGATTTACACACATTCTTATCCACTTCTTGTTCTGCACCCACATGGTGTGAAGAAAATGGGTGAGCTCCAATTGGCAGTTAGATTCACCACCCTCTCTCTAGCTAACATGATTTATGTCTACGGGCATCCTTTGCTGCCTAAAATGCACTACTTGCACCCATTCACAGTCAACCAGGTAGACAGTTTGAGATACCAAGCCATGAATATTGTAGCTGTGAGGCTCGGCCGAGCCGAACCACCTCTGAGAAAAGAGGTGGTGGAGTACATGTTAGATGTGGATTCTCACACGTGGAGTATGAGAAGAAGCAAAGCCAACTTCTTCAGAATCATGTCACTTATTTCGGGTTTGTTCACCATGAGCAATTGGTTTGTGGACATTTGCCAATGGAGGAACCCAATCACATCAGTGTTGGTTCATATCCTCTTTCTGATATTGATTTGGTACCCAGAGTTGATCCTTCCAACTCTCTTTCTCTACATGTTCCTCATTGGATTATGGAACTATAGGTTCCGACCAAGACACCCATCTCACATGGACACTAAACTTTCATGGGCAGAAGCAGTGCACCCAGATGAGCTTGATGAAGAATTTGACACGTTCCCAACTTCTAAATCCCATGACATAGTTCGAATGAGGTACGACAGGCTTAGAGGAGTTGCCGGAAGGATCCAGACCGTGGTTGGAGACATAGCAACACAGGGGGAGAGATTTCAGTCTCTACTCAGCTGGAGAGATCCAAGAGCAACCAGTCTTTTCATTGTGTTCTGTCTTTGTGCAGCCGTAGTGCTCTATGCAACTCCTTTCAGAGCGGTGGCTCTAGTTGCTGGTTTGTATTATTTGCGGCATCCTAGGTTTCGAAGCAAGCTACCTTCTGTGCCCAGCAATTTCTTCAAGAGATTGACAGCTCGAACAGACAGCTTACTGTGATCCTGTTAGCAGTGCTTGAGTTCTGAGAGCACATATCTTCTACTTTCTGTTAACCAACCCGCTTCTTTCTTCTTTTCTTGTAAGCTACAATAAAAGCCTTCCTAGTATTTCTCAATAAGCTGTCCTTTGAAATAGGGATGATTGCTGTTGAGTGTTGATCCGTAAAGGACACCAAGTGCTCAGGGTGGCAGGGAGCCTGGTACTCGTGGATGAACCATAAAATGCTTCCTTCTGATTGTACATGCTTTTACTGAAATTCTGCTTTCCTGTTCCTACTCCAACTCGCCGTGCTATCATAATGAAACAAAAGAGTGGTTTATTGGGTGGTTTTTTTTTCCAACAGGTCTGGATTTGAGAGACGACCTGTAACAAAACAAGACTTCACCTAGTATGGCACCAAGGCGAAACAGAGAGAACAAGCAATATCCTAAAGGCAAATAGTGAATCATTTTCTTCATTTTTAAAATTTCTGAGAAGGTAGCAACCCAGCAGCATCTCAAAAAAGTGCACATTTAAACTCACTCTAATACCAATCGCAACACCAAACTAAGAAACTTGACAGCATTCAAAGTTTCAAACGACGAAACGTGCCATTGACGAACAGCTAAAGGCCACATGAATGGCCAGCCTACCAAACGGTTAACATCTTGAAAAACCAAGCAAAACTTGAAAAAGCTGTTACAGGAATTTTCAGTTCCATGCATTCTCCATACCCATAGATGATTGATCGGGAAAATGACTTGTCAACTGTCAGTTACCGTTGATTACTCCAGCTAATCCAAAGCAGAAAATGTTCACAGCCCAGGGGAAAATTGGGTGTTTCTATATCACTAGCACAACAGTAAAAACAACCACTACTAACAAAGGCAAAGATAATAACATGGCTCATCATTGCAACTTCAATCTAAAACAGAGACTAACAATTCAAAAGAACCAAATCACATGAAAAATAAATAGCAGTCACTTGCACCACAAAATGAAAAATGGGATACAAAAATCACTTGCACAAAACAGTGCCTTGTAAGAGGTTCATATATTGCCAAAAACACTAGGAAAGTGCAGCTGCTACGATAAAGTTCAAACAAAATACAATAAGAAAGTAGCTCAAGAGAAACGATCCTAATCTTTTCCTTTAGAACACAAGCTCGTGAGGCTTCATTCCATCCTTGAGAGAGAACCTTGCGCCCAAGTATGCCTTCAAATCTGGAACACACTCGAGTGATTTAATGAGTGGTGCATCCACTGCCTTCTGGTCATCCTTCTTCTCTTGTGGGAGAGCATTCTCACCCTGTAATTTGGGAATAGAAGATCATAAATTTCAGGATTAAACAGAGAACATAAATAAATAGAATGGAACAACATATAACTAATGACCACCAGCAAACACACCTCTTTATCTGCCTCAAAGAAGTTGCCCTCTCCCTTTTTCTTCTTCTTCTCAGCCTTCTTGCCAAAATATTTATCATCAAACTTCTCCACATTAACACCAGAGATGTCAACCTTAGTGGAAGTTCCAATCACATAAGATTGGTTGACTCTCCTAAGAGGAACACCATTGATCTTAAATGGTCCTGCAGCAATGGTAAACAGTATCATAATTTCATGCAGGAAAACAATTTTCACTGCAATATCAAGTCAAAGAATTTCCATACTAAGCCATATCGTGAATTTTTTTACATAACAATATAGAACATCCAATATGTAAATGATCAAGTACTGCTGTGAAGCCAATATCACAGACATTATCACCAATTCAAGCTTCAAATCACAGCTTTGAGATCATCGGTAATATAATTTCTGTTCTCCAACCAAGATCAGTAATGCACATGCCCAGTGATACTTGATGAACGAAAATACACTATTACAAGGGAACACCATTCGATATAAAAGACAACAAACAAATCGAGCTCACCAGTGACTAGAAGCAATCCTGAAGGAAGCTGCTTGAGGAACACAACTCTCTTGCCCTTGAACCTCCCAACAAGAATGATCAAAACAGTCCCTGGGGTAATACTATCCCTGCAACATCATATAAACAACAAAGAAAATATAGATTACAGCATGCCTTAAATAACACATCGCTGATGCTTCAGCAGCCAAAACTACCCATAAATGAACTTTTCTAATACAATAAATCTCTACCATTTCAAAATGAGATAGTCAATAGGAAACACATAACTCAAAACCACATTATACAAAAACTCGAAAAGAGAGCAAACCAAAACCATGAAACAGACTAAAAAGCAACCGATAAAACATTTTAAAATTCAATAAATGAATCCATAAAGAGAGCAATATAGCTAAAGGTAAACCTGAGCTTGGTGGGCTTAGGCTTGCGCCTGTTAGGCAGTGGCCTCTTGACATCATCAGCCGGGTAAAACTTAGGTGGTTTCTCAGCAGGGGCGGCGTCTTTAACTTTAGGAGCGTGTTTGGGGAAAACACCGCCGTTTTTGGCCTTGATAGCCCACAACCCTCTCTTGCGGTACATCTGTGACCTCGAGTACTTACCGATCCCTCGAACCAGATCTGGGTTTCTGGATACATGTGGTGTCTTCCTGGGAGCCATTGATTCCGAATGAGGTTTGTCTCTCACTCTCTCTCTCTGAAAAATGGCCACAAACCCTAGTGGGGAGAATTTTGAGGAGTTATACATGCGGCGTTTTATATAGGGATGTTCAGTAAGAGGGGAAAAAACCCTAGAAACCCTAATTCCTGTTATTGGGTAATGGGCTTGGTTTTGGGTTGTGCTGGTGCCCTTGGTTTCTGGCTTTGCGGTGAGCCTGAAATTTTCTTGAAACCCTATTTTTTGTAGGCCGTGACCCATATTATAGTTTTCATCTTATGGACAGAGTTAGCAACACAATTTTTTGACCTTTTCTATTTAAATATCTTTACTTTTATTTTTTATATCTAATTGTCTGAGCTTTTTATTTATTTTTTAAAAAGTAATTTTTTTTTAATTTATTTTCTATGTACTCACGTTGTTATTAAATTAATTAATTTTTTTTGCAAGATTTTTTAATTAAAATTATATAGAAATAATTTTTTGAATTTTTTAATCAATAAATCAAAAATACATAAAAAATATTTATTAATTTAATTTTTTTTTCTGAAAAACAATCTAAAAAACACTATGAATTGAATGCATTACAAAACAAACTCTGTATCCAATACTTTGATCTTCAAAAATTAATCACTGAAATATCACTTTCAATCATAGGTGAATTTATTCAAATTTAATAGAAGGATCTGGCAAAAAAAATTCAAACAATTTTAAAAATTATTATGTAGCACCAAATCCAATCCATCAGGAGGGCAGGATGGTAACTTGAGAGAAATTTTCCGGATATGCTATCCAACCCTTCCAGTCTCTGCTACAAAACCCTCCCATTCTCGTCCCTCCCGTTCCACAGAGAAAAAATGGCAACAATCTCATCTCTTACAACACAACTACCCACGTCCACAAAACTTGCTCTTTCAACAAACCAGTCAAAACCCTCTTTCCAAATCCTCAAACCAGCAAGCCCTTTTAACCATTTCCCTAAATTCACACATTTACATAAAATTCTAAACACCAAAGCCCCCCAAAGGCTCTTTGCAGTAACTGAAGAAACAGCACCGGCTGCTGCAGTAGATCCTTCTTCAGAGGCTGCTAGGAGGCTGTACGTTGGAAATATTCCCAGGACTCTGACTAATGAGGAGCTTACAAAGATTGTTGAAGAACATGGTGCTGTTGAAAAAGCTGAGGTAAATTATCGACTAATGGTTTCTTAATTGGTTTGTCTCCTCTTAAAGCATGGATATTAGATGGACAGAGAGTTGTGCGGAGCTGCATTACCATGGAATGAGTGTTGGATTTTTTTTTCCTGATGGCAATTTTCTTGATTCATAGTGGTTGAGTATGGGGAAGTGATTTAATAGAACAATTCCTAAATATTCTTTTCCGATTTTTTCTAGGATTGAAACTCGATGCGGTTTGTTTGTTTTGGTTTTGGGAAAATTTTAAAAGGATTTCAGCTAAGCATCAAAAAAGAATGTTATTTTTTTCCAGAATTGATCTAATTTACTATAATTTATATTATTGCTCTAGCCCGTGGGTTGATGATTTTTCCTTGTTGTTTGCTGAGGCTGTTGGTTCAATCAAACTGTGATTTCTTTCTATTGGAATGTCTGAACTTGATTTTATATGCTGAGAAGTCAAGGAAATGTGATAATTTTGCGCAAACAGTATCATTTCTTTTAGAGATGGCTTCTTTTCAGACTTAAAAAGGTATCCTGAGATTATCCAAAATAAATGGAGAGTATCAGAATAACGTCCAAAATCAGTAATTTGTGCACAAAATCATAAAATGGGCACGGGACTCATTCTTTAAAGCACTCCACAGAAAACAATTTCTGAACAAGCAGTTGCTTTTTTTCTTAGAGGTCATTGAGCCTCTTCTCAGTATACCTTTCACAAGTTACGAGTCCATTATCCACCAAATCTTGGGAGAGAACTATTGAGGTTGAGTATTCCTATGACCAATTTTGGATAGGCTTCGACCTTAATTTTAAATTACCAATAAGTCAACTCCTCTGATCATTCTTTCGGTTTTTCTACACCAAGCAAACACCATTCCCTCACTTATTTCTTCTACCAAACAATCTGCTTTTACGTTATCAGGTCAATCCATTATATTCCTCTGCTTGCATTATTATTTTCAAAACGATTAATATCACACGGTAGCGCCCTGAGAAGATGTGTCAGTTTCTCCTATTAGTGTGCCACTGGACCATTTTATCAGTTGTATCCATGTGTCAAAAAATAGCTCGATGGTAATAACTAGAACTTAAATGGTAAGTTTAAACTGGTCAACCTAAATTTAACCTATTGGAAGAAAAGTGGGGAGGGAAGATGCAATTATGTGTGCACCTATGCGCCAGCATGTGAGTATAACTTCATTATAGGTTATGAATGTCTAAATAGGTCATTTAAAACTCTGCGCATAACTTCTACCATTTGAAATCCTCTTTTTTGACTTCATGCATAAGTCTGGCACTCCCATTAAGAGAATTTGATGTGTAGGATTCCTATTCTCGAGATAACTTCATTTTCTTGTTTCCTTTATAGGTTATGTATGATAAGTACTCGGGTAGGAGTCGCCGATTTGCATTTGTTACGATGAAAACTTCTGAGGATGCAAATGCGGCAATTGAGAAACTGAATGGCACTGTAAGCATTGCCAATTCTCGATCTAATTGAATGGCACTTCACAAACACTGAATGATTCTTTATGTTGGTTTTCCATTGCAGGAAATTGGAGGTCGTGAGATCAAAGTAAACATCACAGAGAAGCCTTTGCAGTCATTAGATCTGCCTTCTGTCCAATCAGATGAATCCCAATTTGTTGACAGCCCTTATAAGGTTTATGTGGGAAATCTTGCTAAAACAGTAGCAACGGAAACACTCAAGAACTTTTTTTCTAAGAAGGGAAAGGTTCTCAGTGCAAAGGTTTCACGAGTTCCAGGGACCTCAAAATCTAGTGGGTTTGGGTTTGTAACATTCTCTTCAGAGGAGGATGTAGAAGTTGCCATCTCATCTTTTAACAATTCTGTGAGTTACTTGCAGCCTTGCTACATTTAACTAGTGATTGAGTTTCTAGATCACAGAAACTTCATGCACCTGCACCAACACTCTGTTCATCTAAGGCATACACTCCCATCATGCATTCTTGTTTATGGGTATTTATTTATTACAGAAGCAGTATCCTGCATGCTTCGTCCTTTCAAATCACTAGCCAATTATCAGGACCTTTTAGCACAATTAGACCCTTGCTGTATATTTTTATCACATACTTGGCTGTTTCATTTATCTGATAATTGTTGGTCACTGCAGTTGTTGGAAGGGCAACCAATTCGTGTAAACAAGGCCTAGTATAGTTTGCGCATTTTTGGATTTGAGGAGTTGAGCTGTATTTTGAAAATCTGTTGCAAGCTAGTGGTTTAGTCATGTATTCATCTCATTGTCGTGATCTTATGATTCTGCTGTATGTTCTGTAATTGTTGTAATTTCTAGCTCACTGTTAGTTATAATCGCATGCAACTTTTTTTAAAAAAAATAAAAAAAAATTGTTCTAGCATCTTCTATTTATGAATGTTACTTCAAAAGGATTAAAAAAAATTGTTCTAGCATGAAAATGGTGCTTCTATTTATGAATGTTACTTCAAAAGGATTAAACGAGTCAAGCTAGGCCGAGCCAAATGGAAAGCCGTGTTCCATGGGCTTGGGGGGTTAAACATAGATTGAGTTTCAGGCTTCGAGTTGGTTCCGAGGTTCGCTTATGCTGTTTCTTCTCCGGCCAACTTTATTCTTAAAAAACCATGTTGAAATCGAAATCAAATCAGCTTGCCTATAATCTTATGTAAGGACCTGGTTTATAATTTGACTGAAGTGATAGGTATAGTGGGCTTGATACGTACTTCCAGATTGCAGTGAAAGAAGCTTCCCTTCTATGCTCTTATATGCCTTTTAATCTTCTCGTCTAGAACCAATTCACCAGTGCAGCGAGTTTTGTTTTGAAAATAAATAGCAAGAGGGGAAAAATTATTTGGAAGCACGAAATGACAATTTCATCAGATATTATCCTGGGCAACATTTCTCATAATTAATTGGTACTGGCATGAAGGAATTATTTAAAGTAAATTTTTTTAAGTAAATTTTAAGAAAGTATATTATAAGAAAGTAAATTATTTTTTGATATTTGATAGGATAATAAAAAATAATTTAAAAAATAATTTCTAGTGTTTGGTTATATCATGGATAATTAGTTGAAAAATAATTTATTAATAATTTATTTTATTAAGTTTATTAAAATAATAGAAAACAAATCTTAAAAATTTAAAAGTTGAATGAGAAATCATCTCAAGTAAAATAAATAATAATTAAAATAATAAAGATCAAATCTAAAAAATAAAAAATGAAAGATGAAGAAATTAAAATAATAATAATTAACATTTCATAAATTATTTCAAATA